ACTCGGTACGTCTGAATTCAAGAAAAAAGTTAAGCATTATCAAGGATCGATTTATACTCGCTAAATAATTATACAAACCATTTGGAGGTGGTTTCTACTTAAACCAGAAAATCGGGAGTAGTTCATTTCTGTTTCCTTTAATTTCGCTTTTCTTTTAACATTGGTGGAATGAATAATTCCGATATAACAGTAAATATGTTGCTTTACAATTAATATTACTAATTAATTAAATTATTTAATAGTATTACATCTATAAATCCGATTTTACGTACAGTTTAAGGTACTTATAAGATAATAAGAAAAATAATTTAAAAAAAAGAAAAAAAAAAAAATATATATATAGGCATAGGTTACTAACTCCGTTTAGAAATTTGTACGGGCCAGAGAAACGAAATAAAGTAATCAATATTCAGAGCGCCCAAGGAAGTTATTCAATTGTGTATCCCCCTTCGACGTCATGATGTCCACGTTACGCGCAACTAACTAACGTACTGGGTTAACTACTTGCGTAGGGACGAGCTCCAAGCCTGCTTAGGGGAGTTCGACCTGGACCTTACGGGTACTGTGCAAGAGATGAGAAGGCGCTGGGCCCAATTCGTAAACCAGGAACCCAAGCTCGAGAACTACACGTCTGTTAGAACTAAAAAAAGGACTTGAGGCCCTCACCAGACAGCGATCGCTTTTTCGAGCGAAAAATGTAGCCGACGAGCTACCAACGAACGAGAAGGGATTCTTACACCCACCGACGAGCGCCGAAAGCCTGCACGTACGATTTGGAGGCTATCCCAACAAGGAACGCGTCACGCGAAATTCCTCAAGAAACGTATCGAGAAACCCAGACAAGCGTTGGACGGCGTGACCCACCGAACAACATAACGCGGGCGACGGATCCAAGCCCGCAAGAGAGGCGAATAAATACGGCGGCGACGTGTCGGCGATGTGCCCAAAGCGCACATCACCAGTATAATTGTCCCCAGCGGCGTACGACACCAGCCACGCGCGCTGAAAGATAACCTAGCGACCGATTTCGAATAGGCAAAGCCCATTCCAAGTCTTCACCCACAACCAAGGGTAAGTCAACCAATTGCGGGTCCCACAGTGACCAACGTTGACTCACAACCATTACCTACTGGCCAACGGTCCGACATCCCAATGTCGGAAAGGCAAAGGTGCATGAGAGCTGATGGGAACGCTTGCCAACAATTGGTAGACACCACGTCGCTACGCCTACGCTTTGATGACAACCGGATCAGCGCAATCGTTATAATCGCAGACCGACGAGTCAATGCCACAATGGACACTGGTGCGACCACCAGTTTCATCGCCGAACTCCTACACCGAGAGATCGGTACCAGTTAAACGTTCACCTAACCGACGGAACCCTATTAAAGACTAGCATGGCGTTTATATGTCCGATCGAATTTGGAGACCCGACCACACACCTTCGCCCTGTCGGTATGCGTGGAGCAGCGGAAACGTTTCTGCTGGGATACAATTTCCTCAAGGCGTTTGGGGTCAAGCTGCAAGGGGCGAACAAAACGGCTGCGTGCCGACCGAGTGGGCCTCCCAGCCAAGTACCTATGGCGGAGCTTGCAGCTGAGATGATACGGACTCCGACGCGTAAAAGGGCCAGTGCGTCTCCCGAAAACCCGCAAACCACAATAAATGATCACTTCTTGCAGCAGGAATTGCCAAAGTTTGCAAACTTGAAGGGAGTCACCACCATCGCCGAGCACAAGATCATCATGAAGGACGATCGACTTTTTAAACTCCGATATGCCACCCGAAACCCGGCCATGCAAGCAGTGATCAACAAGCTGATCGCAAATGGACAAATCGATCCCGCCAGGAGCCTGTACAACTCACCGATTACCCTGGCGTACTTGGATGAGATTGTCAGCGGAAAGACGCTGAGCAAGTACCTGGCTACCCTACGAGAGGAGGTCGCCTAAGAGCTGCCAATCTACGAATTAACATGGAGAAGTGCGAGTTCGTCAAGAAGGAGTTGAAATATCTGGGCCACGAGATTACCGGGCAAGGGATCCAGAAAAACCTCAGCCAGCAGCGAGATGCCGACACCCACGAGTGTCCGCGGCATCAAAAGGTTCATTGGCATGGCTTCGTGGTACCACCGATTCGTACGAGAATTCGCAGCCCTCTCGAAGCCGCTCACCGAGCTGCTGAAGAAAGGAAGACATTGGCGCTGGATGGAAGATCAGCAAATGGCGTTCGAAATTTTGAAAACCAAGCTTACTCTGACCCCTATTTTGGCTTGCCCTGACTTTATGAAATCCTACACTTTGCAGACGGACGTCAGCGTCACGGGGTTACGAGCCGTCCTGACGCAACAGATCAACGGAGAAGAACGCGTGATCGCGTATGCCAGCCAAGCCGAGAGAAACTACACGGCCACAGAGAACGAGCGTTGGGCGATAATCTTCGGCATCCGAGAGATGAGGCCACATCTGAAAACTTACCACTTGCACATCGTGACCGATCACCTATCCTTAAAGTGGCTGAATTCCGTGGATAACCCTATCTGCTGATTAGACAAGTGGGCCTTGGAATTATACAGTACAACGATAGACGGGGTGATGTATATCATCACCGTTAGCCACCGAGGGGATTGGGCGGCGAAGCGGACCAGCCCCCGTAGACCAGCCCAGGCGTAGACGCTAAGCACCCGCTCCGCGCAGCCCTCCCACCGACCGGAAAGTAAGTTAGGATAAAAGCATTAAAATAGAGTAAGTTTAAGTTTTTAAAATAAGTTAGGATAATAGAACTAGAACTTAAGTAAGTTAGGACAAGTCGAGGTTAAGTTAGGATGCTAAGTTAGAAAATGAAGGAGTCTATAGGGGTGGTGGAAAAACACTAGTCGAAGTCGGTGCTAGGACATTTATTTATATTTGAAGTAGAAAAGAAAACCCTGATCTCAGTCATTTACTAATCAAATGCATCGAAAATTTAAAGTGGAAGTCTAAGAATTGTAAAACTGATTGAATTGAAACAAAAATAAGATGAACTGATTCAAAGAAAGTCACAAGAAGAAATTCTTTGTGAAAAATAACCTGGAGCCGCTGAGCTACCCCAGCAACCGGTTACGGGCAATGTCGGCCCTCATAATACATCAATACTCATTAATAGTCGTCAGTTGTCGACAATCTTTTGTAACTTTAATAGAAAAATATTTCCAAGCTTGTCAAACTATTGTCCAAAAAATGAGAAAATTTTTAGCAATAAAACGGAAAGAAAGTAAGTTTGTTTCTGATAATGAATTTAATACTGAAAACATTCACAGTAACTTTAAATGAAGAGAACGTGAAGTATCAAGTTGTAAAAGCTAACAGCTATACAGGCAACTTAGATTTTGAAAGACTAAACAATACAATTTCTGAAAGTATTAAGGTCTTGAAACTTGAAAAAAATGTCAATAATAGTTTTGCAACAATACTTTTCATTCAAGAATCAAATGCAGTCTTTCTGAAATTGAACAACGTCGTGTTACGCGTAGTGCAATAAAAAATCATAAGTAAGCCATGAAATGCAGAACATTGAGCAGACAAAACAAAAAGCACAAAAATTTTTTCGAAGATACATAAGAGAAATTGCAAAAGCGTTTTACATAAAGAACAACCAAAAATTTGTAAAAGCAACCCCAAAAAATGTCCACTCACATAACATTAAAAATCCTCCTAAATTCACAAATTCTATTCACAATAATGTTGATCTTATTTCAAATGACTTCAATCCAAAACTTGACATTAATGACACCAATAACTAGTGAAATCGTTTTTATGCATGTCAAAAGACAATCTATAAGAATTATAAACCAAACTATTATTATAACTTATTTAGACCAAAGAATAAATATTTTAATGATATTAAGATCTCTAGGTTATTTCAAAATGCCCACAGGGTTAGATTTTCTGAAAAGTAGTTTTCGAATATTACATTGACATTCAGAAAGGATATGTTTGGCCGTAAGCTTTTGTCCACAATCGTAGATCAGTTCGTAGATCTCTTAAGGATCCATTCATGTGTTGCAATTGTATGCCCAAGCCGGATTTTTGCAATTGTTTTGGTTTCCATATTTCTGAGACAAGTGAAACTGATAACTCAGCAATTATTCTATATTATATTTAAGTCAGACATAGAATATACAATTTTAAGTGAATCTTAGATTTGAAAAAGTACAAGTTGGAAATTGTCCTTTCTTCCAATCGCATACCTATTCTACGGACATGTGTAGCTAATTAACTACAGGGCCTTAGAACAATTTTTCTTCTTGTATTGCGTTATTTTTTGCTTCACTTTATGAATTTCTGATCGTTTTACGAACGAACACATTTGTTAATTTTTAAATATCACTTCGGTTTTTAACAAAACAATAGATTACAAGAATTTCTCAGGCAACCATACATATATTAATAGATTCGTTCGTGCGAATCTTAAATTTTTTGGTCCATTCGAAATATTTACCTGATGATTAGAAATGAATAAATTATACACTACAATAGAGTAAGATAAATGCAAACTTACCTTAGTCATACAGTGAATCTTCATTTATATGAAGCGATGAGCGAGGAATTGCACTTAATTTTTTCCTTATCTAAAATAGAAGAAAGTAAATAAGTAATATATAAATATATTTATATGATTATAATTAGCTTTACCATACTGCATTTCAAGCAATTCCTTTTATGACGCAATATGATGATGAACTCTATCAACGAATGGAACAAATGCTAGGAATAGGAAATAATGGCGTCAGCGAGGCTCAGCGTAAACTTAAAGATATTGAGCAATCTAAGGGTAAACTTTTTAAAAAGGGCGGTTTTGCCGATGCCGATGATTCGGAACAATTCGTTGGAGCACGAAAACGTTAAAAGTGGGTTAAAATGCTAAAAAGAATTGGAAAAGGGCTAAGAAAAAATAATTTTTCAATAGGTACTAAAAGAAAATTTAGAATTTGGATGGAACTTTTACATTCATTTAATGTAAATAAATAAGATTCAAATTATTATTTTGAAAGTTAACAAATTGTTCTACCGTACTGGAATTATAAAGAACATTGATTTCTTTTTATAAGAAAGCATAACATTGGACGATTTTAGAATTGTTGAAAACAATATACATTATCACAGAATTTCTAAATACTTGGTGTAAAAATAGAAAAAAGAGTTACCCAATTAGATGAATATAGAAAGATTGATCTTTGCTGCTTCGCAACCAAGTAATTTACACATACTTACCTGATATATCGATAGGAGTTTTTAAGAAGCCCAAGTTTATTCGTTAATTCCTTTCTATGAGGAATTTCAAACTCTACGCTTTGCCCAATTGTCTCAGAGCGATTTGATATTTTTCATTTTTTACAAGCTTAAAATCCAGTTGTCAATTCCATCGTAGTGCATTGAAAATAGGGAGGCCCGTTCCGATACTCCAGAATAATTGTTGCGCGCTTGTTTATATAAAACTAGTGAGGCATAGTGCACGGTGAGCTTTCAAGGTTATCTACGAGTTGTAACGCATTGATCGTTGTAAATTTATCATTCTTTTTAGACGATGATATACATACCGAACGACATTTTAACCAGACTGTTGCGCGATTACCCGAGGTTGTGGGGTCTTTCTGGGTAATCCCGTAAAGAACACTTCAGAGAGACTGGGTAAAGAGTTGGGCAGGATTGTAACAGTGAATATGGTGAGGTGAAAATTGACGCAATTTAAAGCGCCGGAAAAAAGAGTGTCCGAGCGAAACGTCCGTCCGCCAACCTATGGCATGCGTTTAAATTAGGGTATAATTGGGCCGCTGAGGTAATAACTAAATAAACAGTCCGTAACAATGACAAGCCTCAGCGCAATGACAAACCGGCAGAGACACCAGACTTCATGGGATTTGACCAGACCGACGAAGGTAGGGGTTTGACAGCGATAGACGATAAACGTGACGATAAATGACAGTGACGTAGAGGGGGAAATTCAACCGACCGATATGACTGACGGAACTGGTACTACTAATATAAATAAAAGTATACCAACTGCACCAATCAATATCATTGGTTTCGATTAGGTATCCACATCAGCGGCCGCAGCGCTTGTGGAGGAGAATCGGCGGCACAAACCGGCCCGGCAGCCAATTTAGACATCAGCAAGGAGGCACTGAAAAAAGTTGTGCGTCCATGCCTCCGCACGTCCACGCCTCCTCACAATGAATGAATATTCGCTATATTTCAAAGGTAAGTTTACATTTATCTTCCCTCATTGTTATTTACAAATTATTTACTTATTTCTATTTAATTTTAGATTGACAAACAAGATATGCCGCCGCTCACAGCCAGGCCATAAAAACGAGCATACGCCTCCACGCTTCCGCGACACAAGGATTCGTGCCTCTGATGGTCGCAAAACAAAAAGTTCCTGAGCCAAATAAAATTTCGTAAGAAGCTCAGAAACAAACAGAGCCTTCGAAAACAATTACAAAAGAAACTGTTAATAAAATATTAGAGGCTACTGTACAGCAGTCTGCTGAAGGTAACCTTAATAAACCTGTTTCTTCTCAGAAAACATACGAATTTTTTGGTGGTTACAAAGTAATTCTCAAAAAATCGAAGAAAGCTGCAAGATCAAGACGCCAGAGGTGGAAGATCAAATGTTTTCTATTAACGACAGCACCTTAAGTGCAAAAAGGGACCTATTTATGAAATTGTCGAAGAACCTTCGCGAAGGTAGCCTAGACTACTACCGTTCAAGGTGCTATTCAAGCACTTTACAGAGAGCCGGAACATACAACATTGGTTATTGAACATCGTGAAGCTAACACGTATGTGGGAGGCACTGTCACATTGGAATTGGAATGCAAAAGCATTTCCAAATCGGCAGTTCAAGTCAAACACGATGGTAGAGCTGTCGAAATGGATGAGAGGCATAAATTTCTTTATGAAGACGGTGGAAGCATGCCACTGTTTATAAAAAACGCCAATGCGTCGACGCTGGTAATATGGCTTTCATTTTCATATGTTCGTTAAGCGCCGTTAGCTGTTTTTTTTTCCTTTACATCGTTTATAAAAAACAAGCTTGTGTAAAAGGTGTCGTGGTAGCGATCTACATTTTCTTGAACAATGTGGCTGGCATAAAATTCGAAGATACGCATCACGCAAGAAACCGGAGCGTGATAAAATTGACGTAAGTCTTAATAATTACTTACGTAAACTATTTTCAAAGCATACAAAGTGAGTGCAAAATAAAATTGTTGATCAAAAAAAATAATAAGTACGTTGATAATTTTACGTATCTTTTCAGAAAAATATCCTTAAATAATTGGCCATTTCGAGATAGCCTTATATACGCGTTGGGAGGACGCACCTAGAGAAGAATGTCATGATACTGAAAAATTTAAGCAGCTTTAAGAAAACTAAGAATCTACTGCCGTTGTAGTATACCAAAAGACTTGCCTTATGTTCATAGTAAGCACTGAAATAAGAAAAGATAGCTGGAAAGTAGTAATTATCTGGTATAAAAAGTGGCTTTTAAAGACTTGTGCTCGTATTTTTGATCAAGGTAATTAGCTCTTTAAGTATCACTTCGTCCCTTGCTAAAAAGATTGATTTTACATCAGGGAAGGATACGAAAAATTTAAATTGATTTCTGATATTGTCGAATTTTTGCATTTTAATATCAAGTGCTTAGCTGTTTCTCTCACATTTCAAATGTCGCAAAGGTCATTAGATATTAACCCAATATGAAGTTAAGGTAAGCTCCAACGCAGGTATGCGAAGTTAGCAGGCGATTAAATAATTTTTTTTTGAGATCTCACAATTTGTGGATTCTTCAGAAAAATTTGTTGTGCAATCGGTCCATTTTTTAGTCTGCCAGTAATCTCAAATTCGTCATCGCATTTCTCCTACCGTGTTCTTAATGGTCCTTAGGACTCTTTTAGGCATACAATATAATTGAAGAGGACCACCGTTGGTTACGGCTTGTTTGGTTAGATAGTCCGCTTTTCATTGAGTGCAGTCCAAAATTTCTGGGCACCCAAATAAGATGAGGTTCAGCTATTGAGGAGCGTTCAATGCACTTCAGAATGTTACTAACGTAAAGATTATGCTCTTCTCTAAGGATTCGATAAAGTCCAGACTTGCCGTCAGTAGCAAGGGACATTGGGATCGTAGTTATTATTGTAAGCGTTATATAAGAGTGGCCCTGATATTTACATTAATTGCCTTGTGTAGGCTTTTGTCAAAACATATTCTTTGAGTTTTGCTTAGATTGAAGATCAGACTCAAATCAGGAAATTTATTATACAAAACGTTAGCTTTGTCCGAAAAAGTGAGAACTGCTCCATCAAAGGATCGGAGAAAGAAAACTATTATAAAGTAGTGTGCATATTGAAAAATAGAAATTTTATGATCTTCGACGTTGTGAAATTCAGCAGTGTACAGATTAAATGGTGTAGTACTGACGCAACTACCTTCCATAGAAGAAGTTAGGATGCATCATACAAATGAGTCTTAACACAAAGTTGGGGATCCACAATTGTGAAGCGGAACAGTTGATCTGCAAAGGATTTGACCCAATTTTTACGCAAGTCCCACGCAGTGATAAGCTTTACCAATACCAAGAGACATCATCAACATTCTTTTTCGTTTCTTTTTACGTTTTTTTTTCGTGATAGTTCATTTAGACACATATTGGCAAATTTATTTTTGTTTTTTTTTTTTTGGTAAGAAAAGGGGTTAAGTAATTGATCGGTTTTGATGCACGGGCATAATCTTGTTTGATCATACGGTTGATAATTTTTATAGAGACTGAAAGGGAAGAAGAAATTGAACGAAAATTTTCCACAATGTTCAAGTTGGCTACTTCTTTTGGAAATTTTGATTTTTCTCCATGCTTGGAAGACAGCACTTGCTAATGACAGTAGGTAATGATTTAAAAAGTTGAGGGTAGAGCGCGTTAATTATGTCAAGTTTGATGCCATCAGATCTGGCCGCTGTGGCTTTCTTTTTCTTTACCTTTGTTTTCTTTACCTTTTTTTTTTTACCTTCTTTTTTTTCTTTACTACTTCAATAACCGAACGGCCGCTTGAAAGAAGTGGAATCACTGTCGGAGTACTAATTGCTGTTATGCTGTACACCTTTGGAATATAGCGCATTTTGATTCATTGCGAGCACGCGCGGAGGAATGGACGATCGCTATTATGGTCTGACAGCGAACGACGGCACATTTTGTTTGTCAATCTAAAATTAAATGAAAGTAATTAAATAACTCATAAATAACAATGAGTAAAGATAAATGCAAACTTACCTTTGGAGTGTAACGAACATTGCTTCATTGCGAAGACGCGCGGAGGACTGGACGTGCGAAGGCCTGGACGACCGCATGGACGATCCCTCCAAATAAAAGAAATGAATGTAGAGGAAATTAAATGCACTTGAAAAGTTTAGTCCCCTGTCTTCTGAAACTTAATCTAAATAAATGTAAGAAGCTTTCTTTCTCAAGAAGAAAGTCATTCATTACTCAGTATTTCATTGATTCTCATAAGATTGGGGACATCGATACGTTCAAAGATTTAGGCGTTCTATTTGACCACAAATTACGTTTTAACTTGCATATTGAGCTCCCGTTAAGCGAAGCTAGGTCCGTGCATGGTTTTATAAAGAGGTGGTCCAAAGGTCCTTACATTACGAAGAGGCTGTACACGTGTTTGGTTAGACCTATACGCGAGTATGCCTCTATTGTGTGGTCTCCTTCATATAGGTGCTATGTAGATTCAATTGAATCTGTTCAACAGCAATTTTTAGGATCCGATTGCCTCTCTTCCCCTTTATGAAAATAGGTTGCTTCTGTTGTCCTTACCGTCTCTCGAGAAACGTAGATTTGTTCTTGGCGTTTCCTTCATAATCAAAATAATAAATGGCGCTATTGACTCGCCTTCATAACTTGGTGAAATAAGCTTTAGTGTCCCTAACCGCTTCTCTAGGCACTTTATCTTGGTTAAGCTTAATCAGTGTAAATTTAATTATGAGCTGTTCAATCCGCTCAGAGTCATTTGCAAGAACCTAAATGACGTCTACCACTTATTCTCGCAACATTGCTTAATACGCGCGATTTTCCTATGTCTTACTTAAACTAGCTCTCATCCTTAAGAGTCACTATGATTCGAAAATAATTGTTGTTAACTATTTTCGTATTATCGGTTGCCACGCTTATGCATGTTTCCCATGTCTTAGGAGTTCATTTGCAATTTGGTCCTGTACCGGTTGTGGGTGTGGCTCTATACACAATTAGCATAGGCTAATTGTGTACATAGGCTAATTGTGTACATGTTTTTTCTTTTTTTTCCAACCTATTTGTTTTATTATACTTATACTAAGTTTTAATATTAATTAATTTAAGATTTATTTTAAGAGTCAATTGAACTGGACTGTCAATTTGTTTTAGTTGAGTTTCATGCACATATAGAATAAATAAATATATAAATAAAAAATGTATGACTCCTTAATTAGCTGGCTCCCCATTGAATCTGATTTTTAAAATGTATTTCTGTAAAAGTCTGTATGTGGAAAAAAATAAATGAACTTACCGCAATATGTTTATTGAAACAATTTTTTTCAGGTCAAATAAAAATGACAAAACGTGTCACTTGAAAACTGTGTGAGAAAATATTAATTTCTTCACTTTAAAGACACCTGTTTTTTTTATTTCAAGACATCGTTTTTAATTAATTTCACAATTTAGAGTCACTTTTAGAGAAAACTCTTTTTTCAGAATTTTTTTTTCTTCACTACCACCACATATCAAAAATGAATTTGAATTGTCTTTTTTTTTTTTTTTTTTAAACTGTGGACTTACGATCTTAGTAGTGCGTGTTTTCTTTTTCGTCTGCAATTTTTTATTGTTTTCGTGTACTATGTTCATATGTTTTTAGTGTTTTTGCAAAAACTGATTATCGCAGAAACCGTATTTGCTTTCGTTTCCTCTAAATATAATAAAAATAATCAAAAAAAAAACAAAAAGGAAAATAAAAATAACATATTGAAAACAATTGTTATTATCTTCAGATGGGTTTAATGTGGGTACACTACCTTGAAGGTTTAACGCCACGGTGCCCGATGGCACACGGAGTGTGAAACACTCGAACTTCCCGAGGTTAATAATCCTCGCAACATACGGTGCCGAAGTCGGCGCAAACGTTGCCATGAGGAATATTAAGTCCTCGAGTACCAGACGAGATACGTTATGGTCGCATCTCCCCTCTGGTGAGGGCGAGGCACTATCTAAAACTTCTGCCTTTCTGTGGGTAAGGCACCCGGTTGCGATGCAACTCCACGCCGAGCAAAACCTCTTCCGGCGATTTTTGGACCAACGACAGCCACCACGAAACTCCCGCTATAGGCCGTTCCTTTTGTCAGGCCAAAGCTAGAAGAAGTGCTTTGGGGGCTCCTGACGCCCGTGATACCGGAATTGAGGAGAAAAATTGCGAAATAATTTATAAAAGTCTCCGATGGGACTTTCTAAGTCCCATAAGACTCGCACTCAGCATGAGATAGTCATTTGAAGGAAACCAGTCTATACGATGCGCATGGGCATAGCATTGTCACTGGGCTTCTCGGCCTTATGGCTAAGATCAAAGTGTAGTATCTGTCATTATCCTCAGTAGTTCCCAAACCTTTTCAAGTGTGTGGTTATTTCACAAATTACTAAATCATAGACAACCATAAGGCATAATGATCCCGGGGCCGCCAGATGAAAACTCAAACAGATTTCACCTATTAGCAGACGTATCCCAAATTAAAAATTCCGAATTTCCATTGTTGCCAACCAATAGCATCATTTCTTTTGACAAAAAATATCTTGCGATTTCTCCAACTGATCCCTCCATAACAATTTCGCAAATCAGCCCTTTTGCTATTAAAAAAGCACTAGATAGCATTACAAAATATATAGACTCTATATCAATTCTACGCGATGAGAATTTACTTGTTCTCGCTAGGAACCCGAGCGCAACCGAAAAGCTCATAAAATCAAAATCATTAGCTAATTTACGTGTTATATCCGCTAAACTGCATGACAAACTGAACTCGGTTAAAAGCGTAGTTTAAAGTCTATAAATTCACCAAATTAAATGACGATGGCAAAACCCACTCCCCTACAGGAAGGATTATTTTGACTTGTGACCGCTATGGGCTACCGCCAACCGTTTATGTAGGTTGGTACAAATGTAAAGTAGAACTCTACATTCCAAATCTTATGAGGTGTAAAAACTGCCAACGCCTAGGTCAGACGGCAAAAAGATGCACCAGTGCTCCACCTTGTGCTAACTGCGGTCTCTCTCCACATGCTGAAAGCTGTACGCGTGGTTTCTGCATAAATTGCAGTAATCAACGCTCGGCGTTAGACAAACAATAACCACGTTTTATACAAATGCGTGAAATTGTAAAAATCAAAACCGACAATTACTGTAGCATGGCCGAAGCGTGACGCAAGTACCGGGAAATTAATTCATCTGGAACCCAAAGAATTAGCAGAAGTAATACCTACGCAGCTGTCGCCTCGCAAATCGAGCCTAATAAGCCTTTAAATCGAACTCCTTCCAGTGAAAAACCTGTTAATTAAACTTTGTTAATCTTAAAATCAAAAACTTTTCTTGTTCTTTGGCATATTTTTAAGTCATATTATTTTGATTTTCTTTATCATTTCAATGTATGGGTTTTATACTTTCTTCTCGATTTATTCTTGGTGAAGAATTAAAAGCTTTAAATTCTTTTCGTACATATTCTTCGGAGTTTAGAAAAAAATTAGAGTTACAAATTTTTTAACATATCGTCTGTTTTAATTTCATATCATTTCTGGAATAAATTCGTTAATTTCTCGAATGAAGTTTTAATGAATTGTTATCGATTTGTATAGGTAACTACTGCCACCTCCATTTAAAATAAAAAAATTTATAAGCGAAAACCACGTGATAAGAATAAAAGAGGAGCAACAAAATGGTCAGCGTGAAAGTAGCGTTGGAGAGACTTTACAACGAGTACGCAATGAAAACTCCAAAAAAGCTGAAGTTGATAGATACTTACATGGGATTTATATTTCTTACGGGCGTGATACAGTTTTGTTATTGTTGCCTGGTAGGCACGTTTCCATTTAACTCTTTCCTTTCGGGCTTTATAAGTACCGTAAGCTGCTTCGTATTGGCCGTTTGTTTACGTTTACAAGCAAATCCGCAAAACAAGAGTGTTTTTGTTAACATTTCTCCGGAAAGAGGTTTTGCAGATTTTATTTTTGCGCACGTAATTTTGCACCTTGTTGTTATAAACTTTATAGGCTAAAATAAAACTTGTGGAATTGGGAGATTGTCAAGAGCATTTATTTAATAAATCGATAATAGCACGAAACGAAATCAAACTCGTTTTCATAGCAATTTATAGTTATATGAGGTTCGAAGATAACGTTGACGAATGGTTCTAAAGGCTCAAGGTATTCCTCCAGATTCGATCCACTCTGTTTATCTTTTTTCATAGGCTTCTTCTGAGATGAGTTTTTGTTTCTTTTTGAAGTAAGACTTAGATCGTTGACATTCAATGAGATAAGGTTGTTATATACAACATGCGAAGGGCAAAAGTTTAATTTTTTTGTAACCTAAAAGAAAATTTGATATCTTTTTACTTTATATAATTGTTGATCGTTCATATACTTCACAAAGTTGAGCGTCCATAATTTTAGTACATCCATTAGTTTTGCATTTTTGAAGATCCACCATATAATTAAGGTGACGATGTATCGAATTGGTTTTTGGGCCTCCAAATTTATTAAGTTTATTACAATGCCTACCTGGGGCACCCTGGAGATCCTTGCATGCATTTTCGTTTGCCATAAAAATAGAATTTCTCAGTCCAGACAGAAGCCTATGCAGAAAATTGCACTTGAGAGTTGCCAGATTCGGGCAACTGTCCGCGATTACATTCGTTTTACAGTTCACGCGTTGATTTGCATTACAGAACGGTGAAGTAAAATGCCCATAACTTACTTATTCAACTTGAAACCTAATGTTATAGATTTATGACTGTTTAAATATTACTGAAAACTTGCAATAACAATGTACAGCCCCGTTCTACAAATTTTCTACATATATTATATACCTATATCAAATATATCTCTGCTATAACAAAAAAGTAATAAGTAACTAAAAATAAAAAAATTTGAGCTGGAATCTCAATAAATTGATTATAAAGTGATATATCAATGAATAGACTTTTTATTTTTATATTATATAGCAAAATAAATGATTATGTGATAACAGAAAATTTACATACAATTTCGGCCCGGATTCGGATTTCTGGGTATTGTCACTTTTTTAATGCAAATAACTTTTCACCAAGATTTCATTCTTAAAAAAAAAAAATAACATTAAAAATTGAGATAAGTTAAATTTCTTGCGGTTTGTGGGGTCAATACAATGAGGCTTTATTTTCGTTTTCACGCTAAAAACTATCCTATGGCAAACACAATCGATCGCCGCCGAAGAAATCAAGAAAAATATAAGCAACTAAGTGCATTGGTGCAATTGGATGGCAAATACTTCTATACTTAAATACTACTTCACCATTGTTCGCCCAAGTCCGGATCTCTCTTTTATAATTTTAAAGGAAAGTGTTTATGATTACAATTAAATAATTTTTATAAAATTTGTCCTATAAGCCATTTCATATGATTCGTAAGATCTAAAGAGTAAAACGTATTTGTATTTAAATATATTAGGATTCTTTTTGGCGTAATCTTGAAAAAAAATAAATAAAGAAGGAAATAATGCAGTAACAAAAAAAAAGATACGTAAAGTTATCTTGCGAATTGAAATTAAAATTTTTATCGGGTTCCGAGAAAAGAAAAACCCATTTAAGCTTAAAAAGCCTTCTAATTTCATTACTTATTTAAGTTTTAATTGCCTGAGCTAGGAAAGAATTAAGGACAGATAGTAGATAATTGCGCCACCAGTATTTTGAACTCTACAATTTCTAACATTTCATTAAGGATAGCACCTTCTGCCGCAACGTTAGCTGAACTTTTAACCAGTTCTATAAATAATTTATCTCAGTTTCTTAAAATGAAATTTGTTTTAAAATTCTTAAAGCCACTTCATATTGCGCGAGAAACGTAACTTCAATTCTTCCTCTAGTTGCGCATGCCGATGTTCTAATTGCAGTTCCTGCTGACTTGTACTCCATTCTTCGTCGCGCTTCCTGAAAACAAAAAACAAAACAAGAGAAATAGACGCGAATATCTAATAAAAAAAGCACCGAATAGAAATGAAATGCTTAGACCATCATACTTCACAAGTGTTTTTCTTAATGCATCGAAAAATCCAGGAAATTGTGACAAACTAAAATAAAACTGAAAAATAATTCCATAAAGTTGTATCAAATCGAAAAATAATCCCAGGAAGTTGTGTCAAACTGAAATGAAACTGAAAAATAATTCATTGATGTTATTTCCCTGTGGTATTACTAAGATTTGCGATGTATATTATACTTCCATCGCTGTAGAATTCAAAGTTTATGGTTCCCAAAGTGATGAAGACGTTTCGAGGATTTCTTCGTTTGGGCGATGGGTATTTAGTAACAAATTGAATATTCCACAAACAAACACTATACAAAACTCAAATGTAACCTTTCCATATTTGTTTATGGGTGACGCAGTTTTTCCATTCCATAATAATTTATTATAGCTGACTTTTATGTGAAGGCAAATATATTTTCTACGCCCGTCTTCCAAACGTCCCGCAAGTTATTGAAAGTATATTCGGCAACCTAGCCTCGCGTTAGAGGGTCTTAACAAAACGATTACTATTTCCCATTGATTTTGTTTATCACATAAAATTTTCAAATTCCAAAAATCGCCCTGCTGAATTTTTTACAAACCTTTATGGGAATTGCCAAATCATATGGTTTTGCGTGGATACATAGAAATAAAACGAAATGAAAACAACATATAAAGGCAATTTATTTTAAATTTAGAAATTATTTGTCTAATTTATATTTCATTTTGTATGTAATGTACATTTTTTTATATTGTGGAATTTGCAATTTTGGATTATGCCATGCACTGTTTTGTAAGAAACGAAAAACAAGCAATATTTTGTTAATTTGCAAATTATTTATCAGTTAGTTTATGGATGAAAAAGGAAAGAATGATGATGTGCTAACGAGTCTAAATCCAAAACGAGTCACAATCTCATTATAATCAGCCCCTATTCCAACAATGCAGGTACCACAAACTCATGTAGAAGCTTCCACTGCTACTCACACTTCCTTTTGTAATGAACATGAGAAAGGCCAAATGCAAATGGCGTAAGACCTCTTATATTTTCAAACTTATTTTTTTATGAATATGGTAACTAAGGTAATTGACCTACCTGGTCTTGTTGTCAAAATTAATATTGCGTAGACAATATTCGTCAAAATTTATTCTTTAACTGAAAATCTTAATATAAAACTTTCACAAAAAAATATCTGAAACTACATTGGTGTGCTGAATACAGGAACAAGTAAAATATTAAGTTGCTTTAATTAGATTCAATCAGATCAAGCCTTGAAGAACAGTTCTTTAAACATGCAATCTCGGACAGTCCAATCTAATTTGTAGAAAGATTAAAACACAGTGATGCAAATAATCCGGTCTGTTTTATTCCTCCTACTTTTCTCAAAGTTGCGCTTAAAGGTCAAAACACACCTAAACTCATTATTTTCAATCATTGTATCTGCCCAATTGATTGCTTTGTTCCTACCAGAAATCTGTGTTTCAATTGTGAGATCGAGACATGTTCAGGAGTTTTGCAGATTCAAAGACACTCTGCGCATGAGCTGTGGTTCTATTCCGATATATAAAGAAAATTGTCAGAGTATCAAGTGAGTTTTATGTGGTTCTATTGAGCATAATGCTCGTGATAGAAATTGCCCCAAAGAAAACATTGAACAAAATGTTAACCGAGTCAAGACCATTGAAACCATATCGTTCAAAGAATACAAAGAAAAGTGCACTTCGATCTATCATGCCATTCGAGACGATATATATTATGAAAAGGAGTTTCCAAAATAATTCATTATGCTGATTACGTTATTAGCACTGATCAAAAGTCACACGGTGTTAACTAGCCGCTCACTTAAGTGGAGCCGTCCTCGGCCTTATTCAGGACGTATTCTATTGCAGATTGTAACTTGGTCTGTTCTCTTTTCTTCACCTATTGTTTCATCAGAATTATCGCTAGATAGCACAATCATAGGGATACGATAACAATGCAGATGGCTAGATGGGTGATGTTTTCACTCCCCTCCGAAGTTCACCGATGTAACGTAGGTTTTCCATTTTCACGTGATGTAATAATGGTAAGCTTAGACCGGAACGTTGGCGTTCCAGGCTTCCTCTTTGATATATTATATCTGTTGACGTACAATAAACCATCAATAGTGATGTTATTGTTGAAGACAATTAAATAGGTGCCATTTACAGTTCGCTTTTCATGGTTATCTTCTTTGACGTTTACGGCTGAATCGTTTGTAACAATGATTCCATCATCGATTTTAGTCACTGGATCCAAATGACATTGATACCAAGTTGATAATAGAGTGGGTTAACAATTGTTTATTGAATAAGTACACGTTCCGCAATCGGTTATTGTATTGATGATAAAGAGTCGTATAATTTTGAGGTATTTGATTATAAAATACAAAAATTCTTCGTTCAATATAACCTTAACACTAGATGCATTCATTAAATCGGATATGTTACTATTTGTGTATTGCTCATCGCTAATCAAAGATTTCAAATCGTCTTTTTGTAAAATAGTCGGGTTTACAACATTGACTTTAGCCAAAATTACCGACAGTTTTGTAATTCCATTAAGATTATCCTATTCCTGGTAAATAAGATTTCAAACAGTTTAATATTGTCAATTTGTTCTTTTTTGGCATTCATGAGAATTGTATTTATGGCATTTGTTAATTTCTCTATTTGAATCTGTATATTTGTATTTATCTGAATTTGTCGGTTGTTTGATTCTATTAATTGCTTCTGAATCAATCTTATTTTCTCAAAATCGTCTGCATCTGGCGTACCGGCAATGATCTCTAACGCGGTATCTAAAATTTTAATGCTCCTTCCATGCCTGTGGTGAGTATTGATAGACGACAGGAGTGAACTTATGTGCCGCGTATCTGAGTCTGATATCATTTATGCAATAGTGGAAACGTAACTATCAGATTTTTTGTCTCACTTGCGATATCAAATTAAACATTGTTGCATGTCTGAGATATCCATACGCCTCCCAAACTATGGCGTGAGCGTCCAATATAGGGATGTAATCGGCGTGCGAGTAGTCTGTTATCTTTGCTGAGGCGGTGGTCCATGTGGGAAGAAACCGTAACGTCAAGTGAGGTGATAGGAGAAAATGTAAAATAGTAAGGAAGATTCAAATTACTGCAAATTGTCCTTATGGATCACTCTTTCTTTCATTGGAACTGTTGTTCCCATATCTTCTTCTACTACTGTTGTGGTCGCTTGTAACATGAGACCGATCATATTGTCAACCTTTGTTTTAAACTTGAGGCATCTCGCTGTTTTTACAAGGGTACTGTGGAATCTTTCGACCTGCCCGTAAGACGTGAGTAATATATGTATGGGGGAACGTCGACGCGAATTTTAGCCCGCACACACACACACACACACACACACACACACACACAACACCATCCCTCACGTCTACTACATGTTCCATATGACACTCCACTTACCCTCACAACACGGATTCCAACGCCAACGATCACATTTCA